GATTGTGGACAACGACATACGAAGTTTGGGATTCATCTACAACATCGACTTCCTCATAAACACGGACCAACGAACCTGCACGTTTTTTCCCCGTGGCCTTCAAAAATGGCAAATTTACCTCCAACACCAATCAGTTGTTTGACTTTTTTCAGATTATGACGATACTTACTCATACGAGGATCATCAGGTGTTTGACGCCTCTCGGTCTACGTTACCTTATGAAGATCCGGCGACCAACATCAAGGTACAGTCGTGGCAGAACACAACGCAGAAGAACCTGGCATCATGATTCTACTTCCAAAAGATGCGAGTCTACTCTGCGAGTTTGGCGCTTCGTACTGTTTCTGTTCCGATCGTGAGACTGCTTTTATGTAGATCTCGCCGCTAAAGGCGCATTCTTCGCCCTCGGGCTGCTTTCATAGTTTGCGGTATATGCGGAGAGAGTGAAAAGCGTCAACACCCACGATGCGTACTTGGCGCGCAGTCAGCGCCTTCCGAGCAATAATCCTAATTTTAATGCATTTTTTAAATTTTTGACGTTTTGTGTGCACTTTTGCTTTCACTTACGCTTGTTTAGCTCAAAACTTGCTGCTAACTTAGTTGGGGGGCCCACGCGGCGGCGCGGCAGTCTGCTCGCCTGGCATGCGTTTCGGAAATCCGTGGGCCAGGGGGAGTGTAGGCAGTCTAGGGGGTGGGGGTGAGGGCAGTCACTTGACATGCGTGAAAAGCTGGAATGTTCGAGTTTACACTGTCTCGCTCGAGAGAGCCCAGGTGAGCAGACTGCCGCGCCGCCGCGTGGCCCCCCAACTAAGTTAGCACCAAAACTTTTCTTTTTTGTATGGATTACTGCTTTTGCTTACTAATGAACTCACTTGGGCTTATTGCCACTTTCAAACACACTGTATGAACCTAACCATTCTAGGACAGTTGAAAAGCAATGATTCACACGAAAAAGAAAAAAGATTCTCGCCAAAAAAAAACACGAGCAAAAGCAACACGGCACGTGGAACACCTGAAAAACAAAAGGAGTGTAATGAAACCGAATTATCGATCGGAAGGCGCCGACTGCGCGCCAAGTACGCATCGTGCGCCGGGGCGCGTGTTGACGCTTCTCACTTATTCCGCGCGTCAATTCCGACGATCAATACGTACCTAATGCTTTGCAATCGTAACGATCGTTACGATCCGACGACCAATGCGCCCTACGCACAATCGTTCTCAAAGAGGATTTCACGATAAGGACGAACGTCGGAGAAGGGGAAACTTACATACCTCCCCTTCAAAAAGCGAGAAAGTGTCGGGTGCAGACCAAACACCACAACTGACGACGGCCTCCAAGTAAATCTGGTTAGAAGTTGTTCATAGTGATAGCTGATTTCTGGTAAATGATAGTTGTAATTAGTGACAATCGATAGAATACAACTGCAACAGGCTAATCATTTCATTGGCAGAAAACATTAACATTTTGTGAAGCCCGTCGTCACTTGTGGTGCAGGTACCAAGGAAGATGCAGACCCGACACTTTCTCCCTTTTTGAGGGAGGGTAGTGGAGAGACAGATCACACCCCTTCTCCCCCTCCCTCCCTGAGGGTGCGGATCAACGCGCATTTGCACGGAAGGAAATAGCCCCAGCATGGCCTTCCTTTCAGAGCGTTCGACGAAGTGTCACACCTATCCGATCACTTGCAGCTGGTATACACGCGGTGAGGAAGAAAGTAGTCCCATTTCTCGGGTTCCTGGCGCTTTCTCATCCCCGTACCATTGAAATCTCTGCCCTTATTTCAATGAGCTGTCTTTTCTTCGTAAAATCTGCCTTTAATCGCAAAGCTGATCCCACTGTGGTGTTACAGCCATTTTCATGTCGATTTGGCTTCGGTTTGATTTGCAGCACGTCACAAAATGTCTCTTTCAGGGGTCACAAAATGTTGCAGCATCCCTGAGCAAGCTCCTGCTCAATTTATTGTGGAACTGAAGTGTCAGGAAATCTCGTCGGAATCATTTTTCAGATAGACATCTCGTGGGGGAAAATGGTCATGCTGTTCTGCTTGTTGCTGCTCTGTTGCCCTTTGTGGGATCTATTCGAATGTCAAGAAATGGTTAGCTAATTATAGTTTTTTGGCGCAATGTGGCTCGGGGGGGGGGAGGCCCTCAGAAAAGTCATCTAGGACTAAGCCTAAACAGCAGGGACGAACTCCGGAGAATACGAAAATTGCTTCCGTACACCGGAGTTCCTCTCCTCTTCAAAAGCTTAGTCCTAAAACGGAGCGTTTCCGTGATTTTGACGCGATGTTGCGAGGTGCCCCCCCCCCCCCATTGGCTTAGTTTCTTTTTTTTGAAAGTATAAGTGTCTCGAAAAAGCAGCCATTAGAACGGAAATCGAGTTGTTTTTCCAATTTTTCCACGCAAAAAAGATCAATTGATGAAAGGTTTAGGTAAACAGGTGAACCCGCACTATTATTGGGGGGTGAGGCAAAAAAAAAGAGTCACTTTGCCATGAATTCATCATCAAAATTTTTGTCGGATGCCGTTGTTGAATGTTTTACGGATTATATTTTTAGGGTGTCACATCAGAAGTCAGCAGCCCATCCTTCAGGAACCATCGTCTTCAGAATATGTCTCATCTGCCATCACCGTCGAGCTCAACGAGGCTTACCGTAATCGCTCCGGCCTGAAGCTGCTACATAATTTCTTCAACCGATTAAGGTTGAATAGCTTCAGAGACACTAGCTGTGACTGTGCAAGACCGCTTTTGACCAGCGTTTCAGGGACGTCGTAATGGTCTATGGTACCTCGACGACCTCGTTGAGCTCGTACCGTGAACCATGTTTCCGTGGGAAAATCTTCTGATGTCGTCGGTGTAGAAGGCTGTTATGTAACTTTTTGATAGATTAGACTGTGCTCTTTAATACACAGTAAGCTATTTGGTTTTGGTTTCGCAACGTGAAATCGAAATCGAAATCCGTTTCGAATTTGTAGGGAAGTGGCTCTTTTTTGCCTCCCCCCCCCTGTATATACGAAAAAATGAAAAAGCAGATCAGTGTGGCCTTGGCGAGTTTCATAAAAAATACTCGTTAAACAATCTGAGCGGTTCCTGAATGTCTTAATCTTTTAGCTATCCCTTACGCTTGCAGTTCGTGGCCGAACGGCCACACAAAGGGTGTCGCGACCCGCACATACGTTTTTTTTGGCTCTTTAATGATCTTATTTACTTGTTCATTCTTGCTATTTGTGCAGGACATTCTTCCTTGACGCGATAGCGCATCCGTTCATGTGAGCAGTCGTGGGCACGTCTCCTGGATTGAGGATCTGCGCGAGAAATTCTTGCACTCTTCCTAACACTTAATAAATTGTTGGAAAACAAATGTTTTAGAAAGTCATTACAGTCGTGCCTTTCACCGATGTGATGAAGCGCTACTTGTATTAACATTAAAGGAATCTTGCGCGGAAATTCTCTTGCACTCTTTCCTAACATGAATATGTCAGTTGTGATCACTGGAAATAGCACACAAAGTTTCACGCATGAAGATTCGGTTTCTGAAGAGAAACAAACGTACAAAAACTACACGTTATGGACCATCGAAGGACCAGGAGGCAGAGCCAGGCGAGGCATGGAAAGAAGACGGCGTTTGGCCGGCTACGTACCAGGCGACGCAATGAGAGAATCGGGTTAAAGCGCGCGATTTCGGAGAGTGGAGACAAATCGATCGATGGAATAGGATGGAGTAGAAGTGTAAGATGTGAATGCAACGAAGCAGAAGGCCAGAAAGAGCTTCTAGTGAATGCACTCCAAGAACCAAGTTTGAGCATCCCCGTCGCCAGCATTCGTGAAAGACGTCCGTGGGCAATTCGAACGCGTAGCAGCCTTTTCGAGTTTTCGAATTTCTAATCAAAACGAAAGCAATACTTCAGTTCTTTTCACTATTATCGTGGATAATGAGTCTCAAGCCAGTGATTTATGGCTGAAATAGAATCATGATTTTTCCGCGCAAGATTCCTTTAAGCAGGGCGTCAGACTTTCTCGAATCGAGCGATCAGTTAGCGTCCGCGGTCGCATTGCAGATACAGCCCAATTGAGCGATTCGCGGGGCGTGCAGAGCGACCGTGGACGAGCTTAAGGGAATCGCTCCCTACGGCAAGTCTGAGCATCAGGCTTACTCCCGTAATTGGTGGCGTGTTGCGGTTCCGATGTTGTTGTTTGAGCATAGAGCGGCTCTGTCCGGTTAAATTTTCACAAAACTGATTTCACAACGTACCGACAATCAAGTTGAAGTGAGATAGACAACAATGCATTTACAAATATACTCGATATCCGAGAGCTGGGGTAGGCGTGTCACCGTAAGTGACGTGCAGTTGATAGAAGCTATGTGGATAAGCTGCTTCCAACATGCATCGCTGGATATCAACAAAGCATGCCGGCAACAGCTTATCCACTCCGGTGACACCCTACCCCAACTTTTCGGATATGCGACTGTACTGAGGATTGAAAATTACTATTCTAGTCTTTCACGTCAGTATTCAACGTTCTTGAGGCGGGCGCCTGCCGGTCTCGCAGTGCCTCACAGGGGCTTTTACACCTATGGCTATCAGTTTGGTCTTTTTCTGCATCCTACATTTTTGATTGTTTCGACTATGTTCTCCAAAATTCATCCGATTTCATCAATATCCTGGTCTTCTAGAGGCGTACCTCTTTCCACGCGTCCCCTTTTCTCCGCCTGACCTACCCGTAATTGTCCCCAGAGTGGGTGTTTGGACAGAGAATGGGTTTGTTTTTCTTTCGAAAACTTAAGCTTTTTGTAGCAAGTGGACTCTTGCTATATCTTAGCAGATCACAATTGATGTATTCAAGTGGGAAAGAATGAAAAAATTTTCCGTGTATGGTTCTCTTAATGTGCCACGCCTGTCGCTCTTATTTCTGTTTTCTTTCATCCTTGAATCATTTCCAGTCATATTTCAGTCACGAAATCGATTCATATCGAACAAGGGAAGGACGTCTCTCGGTTATGTTGCTGGATTTCAATAAGAATGTAAGGTGATAGTATCAATTCCCATCGAATTCGTACAGCACTACATAAACAGCATCCTTCAACCCTTTGGAGGCTCCGACGTAGGGAGGGGACGCAACAGAAAAGCTCTGTGGCGCAAGTTCGAAGATTTTAGCTACAACGTCTTGATTAGCAGGCTCCGTGTATTCATAGGCATGGTGATCGGGCGCTAGCGCCATTTGGCGCTGGCGCCTTTCACCGCGAATTTCGCGATTACGTGAACTTGCGCTGGAAGATTCTTCCAAAAAACCGTCTTTTTTCATTTCCGGTTGACGCTAATGCACTTGTAGTGTCCAGGCTAAATCCATAAAACTCCCGTTTGGCATTTATAAAAACCAACAAACGTTCTGAAATGAATTTTTTCTCTGAGTGAATTGCTCGTCCTAGCTTAATCTCGCAGACAAGGGAGTTTCCACTGAGCTGAACAGAATCTTACGCCTATCTCCCTATCGAGAAGAAGGAATCGCCATTTTTTCCACACTAATCCATCAGACAGAGCGATTCCAGAAACATCTATGGAACGGTTTACTCAAGGTCGGTTGTCTCCAACGACATTATTTGTAGATCCGTCCAATTAAGATCACAAATTTTACAGAATATTGTGGCGAAAAACCTAGCTTCATGGACGGGATCAAAGCAAAAGTCCGTTGGTCTCTTCATTGAAGAGCAAAGCTGTAACGGGACAGATCAAATGACAAATTGCTCATTGCTGGCCGCTTGCCGGGGACAAATTATCGATGAGGTGACTAGCCAAATATTGTTCGCAAAATTTCACTTCATTTGAAAACAATTCAGGGTGCTATCACAAAATACGGGGACATCCTCCACGACTAAACTCAGAATGGGCAGGAATGCCGGGGAAATAAAAAAATTTGTTCACGCAAATGGAGCATCCTCTTCTTCTCTACCTAAGACTTAGTCCAATTTTTGAAAGAAAGGAGGTTATGAGGTTTGAAATGCATTGCCGCCACCATACCTCTGTATCTTGCGATAGCGCCCAATTCTTTCCACGAGGTTCACTCGCAGTGGAGAATCGTAAGCACCATCGCGCAGGGAACCTCATTCTCATCTTTGCACTAGAATATAGGCAGGGTTCAGAAGCTTACCTCCACACTAGCATACGCCATGCACTCTGCCTCATTTCAAAATCGAATATGGACGCGAATTTATTTGCTTTCCTGCGTCATATTCTATCGAGCCCCCAAGATGAAAGGTTGAGCTTGATCGAAAGGACACAATGTGGCGTACTTTGCACAACTCGGGACTATACAGGGGTGGCCAAAAAAAGAGACACTTGACTCCACATTTCAGACAGCATTAATCACACTTTGCTAAATCAAATCGACTGCCCCCTCAGTATTGAAGAGCACCTTCTAATCTATCTAAACCTTACATGACAGCCTTCTACACCGACGACATCAGAAGATTTTCCCACGGAAACATGGTTCGCGATACGAGCTCAACGGGGTCGTCGAGGTACCATAGACCATTACGACGTCCCTGAAACGCTGGTCAAAAGCGGTTTTGCACAGTCACAGCTAATGTCTCTAGGAAGCTATTCAACAGTTAATCTATTGAGAAATTATGAAGCAGCTTCAGGCCGGAGCGATTACGGTAAGCCTCGTTGAGCTCGACGGTGGCGGCAGATGACGTCATATTCTGAAGACGGCGGGGGCAGTGAAGGAGGGCCTGCTTCTGTTTACGAATATTTCTATTGAAATTTTAAAGGACGAATTCACGCTGGAAAGGCAACCCATTTCAAATTAACTTAGCGATGGTGAGTGGTACACTAAAGAAGGAAAACCATGAGAAACGGCCCAGAACCCGAGAAATGGGACCCCTTCCTTGCCCGTTGATTTGAGCATTGATGCGACTATCATCGCTGTGCCCTCTTCAACGCTACGCTCTCTCACCTATCTAATCACTCACCACGTATAGACCTGCGGCGAGTGATCAGATGATCGGTGGGCGTGCACTGACCAGCCGCGGCGGGATTAAACCTTAATAGGTCAACGAGGTCAACTCCTCCTGTGCAAATTGTGCTTCAGTTCGCGCACACGATCTGGGAGCCTCCGCGCGGTCCCTCACGCAGGTGAATCTCTTCCTTAACTTTTCGATTTCCCTCTGCTGGTGATTGTCTTTAAGTCACGGCACCTGTGCGAACGATAAAAGTTCGATGATGTGGCCGGGCCCCGGGCAAAGTGATCTCTTTTTTTTTTGGGCCACCCCTGCATACCACTTGTAAGATATCACCTAACACTTGAAGCACCAACCAGGTACGGTACAGTCCGAAGACATCTATTCCTTGGATGGGATAAGCGTCATAGTATCAAGTCGTGCCATTGTCGCGGCTCGAAAAGTGTGCGATAACAGCGTTAATACCTTACAAATTACTCGAGCACACTCCGTGATATGGAGCATGGATTACAACTTCGCGGTTAATCCAAACGAGCGCGGAGTCAGTGGAGCCAAGGGCGAGAAAGTCCAGATAAGTCGTCCAAACGCGCCTCTCCATCATTCCAAGGGGAAGAGAGGCAGGGTCAACCGTTACGTTGGACCGATGTTGACCGCTCTCCGCGCCGGCATTCACTCTCGCCACCCGCGAGCCGTCTGTGTCTCCGTGCGTACGTTCACTCTCGGCATTACTCTCGTCGTCGCGTTGGACTTTGTCCAACGGACGGTTGACCCTGGGAGAGGTAATGGCTTCATCGACAGTCCAAATGGTTGAAACCCTGCATCGACAGTCTGCTTTAATTCTTTCTTTTTATTTCCAATCAGCTCGGCATTCACAATTTCACTATCGACCGCTGTTACCCAACCGATCCGCGGTTGTTGACCCTTTCGAACACTGTGGATGATAAATCGCTCATACTTTTGTTTGGTCCTCACAAAACTCAGCGTTGGATCTAATTGAATCACTGCGATAGTTTTGCTGTTGTAATGTTCAGCGCCATTACACGTGCATCGTATTGCGCGCGGGTCTCTCGAAGTGCAACAACCCGCAAAATATGACAAACGAAAGGAATGCCGGGGAACGATAACGAATGTGACGATAGTTGTAAAGCACATAGATGAAACCTTCTTTTGACCTCCGCACCTTTTTTGTTTTCTCCGCGTATTTTTGCTCTAAAATAGTTTCCTAACGGTTTTTTGTACCCCACCATAAGAAATAAAACATATGTGTAACAAACACGTCAACAACGAAGAATTCCGTTCCCTGTATTGGTGGTGCTAATCTTGCCGAACATACCCGTCTTTGGACGAACTTCTCTACATATAAGGCTGAGGGTAGTTGTAAAGCACAATAGCTCGTCACTCAAAAGTGTCGGAAGACCAAAGAGAAAGCACTGAAGACGTCAAGTTTACCTTCAAGTTTTTAGCCACCGCCGCCCATCGAAGAGCTCATACCAGAGGATCCTTGCGCAGATACACCTATGGTGGCCTTGTCTGTGATTGAGAGCAGCGCTTCATTCAGGTAAACAACGTGACCATTCACTTGAAGCAACAACCCCAGGTGAGATCGTGTCGTAAGTATTCTGAAGGTGGGAGAGAGTAGCCCATCAGTATCACAGATTTGTGTTTGCCTGGCTGGAAATGCGCGACAATGGCGCTAGGGCCTTACAAAGTGATCTAATGGTGACTAATGTGAACTTACCGGACGAGATACCTCGCGCACGCCCCAGAGTGGGTTGCGTCGTAGCGGCTATTATGTACACGCGCGGTACTGTAGCCATAAGCAAGCATGTTGAGACAACTCGTCCGACATGCCTCTCCCTTGTTTCAAGAGGGAAAAGAGGGATTTTCAGTGTAAGGATTTCATCGACGGCTTGCTCTGCTTCTCTCATTTCCATTCAACTCGACATCCACAATCTCCTTATCGACTTTTGTTACCCCACCAGTTTGAACTGAGGTTGTTGCTTTAAGTCCATTCAGTTATACAGGTGCAATAAATAGAGAAGGTTCCCTGACTTATGAAGTTCAAATACAAATGAATCCGTGGAGAGTTCTACACAGAGATTCCCAGCTCAATGAAAGGTGAAGCACCTGATTACTGTATACTGTAGGAAAAAGTTCAGGTTTGAACCAAACGTGAGTTATCGACTGCGACTGGACGGACTGGACATGGAAAACTTGAAATCGGTGAGAACCTCAAATTGTGTCCACCTTCTCGAGTGACCCCACAATCATCCTACCTAGATCAAATGGAAAATTGGAGACAATGCCGTCGACAATTACGACCCTTCGAAACCGTGCCATAAACAGGGGATGGTCGTTCATGAGAACGGATTCGATCTGATTCTTATCGAGCCGAATGAAACACAGGTGGTCGGCGTCGTCATCGAGGCATTCACCGGAAAACATCGATTCAGAATTCATTTTCTAGTGGATAGGTGAGTGACTTGGAAACTAAAACTGTAAAAGTGGGCAAGTTCAATAAGGATTCGCCAATTATGGAGATTCTATTAAAATTGAAATTGAAGCTGTATTTGATGACAGCAAGGCGCTGTTCAAATTAGCGATTTCTTACTACGGGCCTAGTCCAGCGCTGCATGACCGACCTTGTAGAGATGAAAAGCTTGATTCAACAGTAACTGATGATTGACCTAGTGAAGTGTGATGCTTCCGATCAACTCAGTGCATCTTTTCTAGGCTCCAAAGACAAACCAAAAGCCTTAGAAGAAAGAGCCCAGGATAAGATAAGACGTACGAGTCCCTTTAGTGGGCGGGAGGGAGCTGATCCTATGAACTTCGAAGTGCAAGGCAAGCGACCGCGAGGAGCCCCGAAGAGGTGGAGAGACGTAATCAAGAAGGACCTAAGTGAAATCACGGCCACGGCAGAAGATGCCCTGGACAGAGCAAAGTGGCGACGACTGACAAAGACAGCGGACCCTGCGACTGCGCGGGACTAACGCTAGGGAGAAGAAGAAGAAGAAGAGCTGTCCCAGATTGTAGATGCACATTTTCCGGCTGCAGAGTGCGCAACAAAGACCAGTTGGGATCTTGCAGAGACCGCTTCGACTGCCTAGATTTTTTCTCGTCCGCAACGTGCTGCTGTCTGCGCTCTCTCATAAGTCGTGCTCTCTCGTCTGTCCTCTTCTCAACGCTCAGTCCTCATTGCCTTGGCACAAAATGAGCACCCCAAAATGAAACTTTGCATTCTTTCCCTTTCTTCTTTTTTGCGGGGTCACTACGCGCCAATGCCTTCATTTTGGTACCACCAGTTTGATCGTTGCGCTTGCCGTTGAGCGAGAAACTATGTATTTAGTATTCTTTCGTTATAGAGTAGAGGACATCTCAACGTATGATCATAGAGAGACAATCGAGTGGGCCGGTATAGTGGCAGGTAGGAAGCCTACCGAATCTCTTTTGGAATAATGCAAGATTCCTGAATGAATTGCTTACGTTTCATTTCCCAGTTATTCGGCTATTTTGTTCATTCGTAGCATCGCTGAAGAGAAAAGAGCATGAATGGAGACCAGCCAGACGGCAGTCAGATAAACAAAATCCTGTGATGAAAAGGATCGGGACTGGGTCCATTTAGATAGATTTTAGCCTAAAGTAGGCGCGGTTTTCTACCAAACTCATAACTTGCTTCCAAGATGTCCTGAAGAACGTGGAAAAAAGTGAATAGAGTGTGACAACGGAACGGAAGGTAAATTAACAGCCATGAGTGGGTGGGACGTGCACCAAAATGGGCGGAGCTATCCTTGAAAAGCTATAATGCGATTTCAGTATGTCTCGAAGATTGAGAAAAAAAGGGATCAAGTTTGACAACGGAAGGATGGTCAACAGCTCTAGGTGGGGGGGACGTGCGCCAAAATGAGCGCAGTTATCCACAAGACGTTATGAGTCGGCCCAAAAAAAGCCTAAGACCGGGAAAAAGTGGGTAGAGCCTGACAACGAAAAGGAGGTTAACAGCTATAGGTGGGTGGGGTAGAGACGGAAAGGAGGTCAAATGCTATTGGTGGTGGAGCGTATACCAAGGTGGGCGTAGTTTGCCCAAAAGCATTATAAGAAACACCGATGACCCTACTTTTATGAATCGCGGGTGCAATCAAATTGGGTCAAACTTCTATTTTTCGAATTTTTTCAAATTTCGCAATTTTCAAATACCTTCGCTACTTAGTACATTTTCAGCAGCCATAGTTTTTCTACTCGCTGTGTTAACTATACTGCATAGCTGCAAGCGGAGAGAGCATGCATCAAGTAGACAAGACCAAACAAGGAAGAAAAGTGATAAACCAGGCCGAACACCTTCAGAAACACGCAAGAAGAAGTCGAGGAAAAAGGATTCGACTCCTGCACCTCAGGCAAAACCTGTACAACGTGCAGTTGCTATCTAATTGTTGAAATAATTCTTTAACGAAATCGTTATTCAATTACAATTCATCAAAATGAAAGACGCACACCACTAATTTTTAATAAATGTCTTGAATAGTGCTTTGAAACGCGATTCTTCCTGATCAGGGCGTTAGTTACAGTAACATACTGTAAAATGATAAGATTCTATTTGAAATGAAATATACTTAAAGGCAGCGGTCGTGGTGGCTGAGGCGACATGTCATTCGTGGGAGAACATAGAGATCGGTTCAACCACTACCACCAGCACGCAAGGACTGACTGGACGGTCTCTCGATGCTCCTTCACCAGTGAAGTGCCCAAATCGTCCCCGCCCCTCAGCCAATCGCGACTGCTGCTTCGAAGGCAGGTGATACGACAATTTAATCGCCCGTAGGAAATGAAAACAGAGCGGCCAAGAGGTACAGCACTAAAGCAAGGGGGAACGGCGCAAAACTCGCAAAACCATGGTTTTCCCACTTAATTTCCGCAAAGCTTGGTCACAGTGCACACTCACGCTTGTCTCTGAGGTGCGATTGGGACGTCATAAAGTCTGAAAGGATCAAATTAGGGAAACTAACAAGGGAAGGCATTGAACTCCGCGTGGAATTTTGAATCAGGGTCAATGTCACGTTGGACAAATTTCAAAAATTTTACGATCCCCCCTTCTGGAGGGCCTCGATACGACCTCAACCCTACCGTTGGTACTTTTTGGAAATTTTTCACGACCCCCTCCACCACCATGAGACTCAGGAGGTCCACCAATAACGACCACCTTACCATCACAGCTGTTACTATGTTACTATAGTATTTGACTTCTGAGACCAGTTGACACAGCCCAACTCAACCCACATTTCCTGCAAAATTGCCGTCGAGCGGTGGAGAGGAGGTATTTTTTTTTCTCACCACTCACCAGGGTGAAAATCGCTTGAGGATTCCTCAACGGCTCGTCGAGGATTTCTTTCACGCTCTCCCACGCGGATGCTCACTCTCGCCACCCGCGAGCCGTCTGTGCTCTCCGCGCGTACATTCACTCTCGGCACTACTCTCGCACAGCAGAGAGCCATGGTCGAGGAATTCCTCGACCGTTATTCACCCTGCCACTCACAAAGCGTAAAGCGTCACATCCTGAGCCCCGTTGATGTAAGATTGGCGCTGCCTCCGATCTTGAGAATAAGACCCCCCTTTTCGTCGAATACGATTCCCCTTTTCGTCGGCCGAGTACGACCCCCCTCGTTCCCTACTTTGAATTGAGATCTAGATATATTGATAGAGCCTGGGACACTAGTTAGAAATACGGAACCAAAATTGCAAAACGAATCTGCCAAGGAAGTTACGAGCAGTCAAAATGGCTGCAAATGAGCACTTGTGACTCGCTAGTGTCGGAGAAACGTGTTACCGTGAAGAAGTGGTAAAGCTTTCCCTCAGCATCGGTTCGATCATGGTTTCGATTCACACTGCAGCAGGTTTTGCAAATCGTGATTCGCACACAGTGAAGACTTTTATTCTGGAACAGAGCTCAGTTCATACATCTCCCACGTCCACCTCTGCCATTCATCAGTAACATAGCACATGTTCTAACAAGGAGCTCAGCGCAAAAGTCAAAAACTCGAAAGCAGAACCTCATTCGGTCCCTCTTTGCTCACGCACATTTATTGCTGCATTCGCCTTATATTCTGCTATTGATACTACCATCACTCGACGTGATCCAGGAACACTATTCTGCCTTCATGCCTTAAAGGACGAGTTCACGATAAGAACGAAGGTTGAAGAAGGGAGAATGGCCTAGTTAGGATACAGGCAGACCACCTGAGGGTGCTGACCCCCAGCACAGGTCCGGCACGGAAGGTTTGACTCGGCGCTTTCAACATAGCTGCGATTTGGCGCGGTTAGTCGGTGTACGCCCACCGAGCATCGAATCACACGCCGCAGGTCTATACGTGGCGAATGGTTAGATAGCGTAGTGTTGGAGAGGGCCCAAGGTGAGAGTCGCATCAAGGCGCAAATCAACGGGCAAGGAAGGGTCCATTCCCGAGTTCTGTGCCATTGTTTCCTCAGTTTTTCCTTCTTTCGCGCATCACTGACCATCTCCAACTTAATTTGAAATGGGTTGCTTTTTCAGCGTTAATTCGTTTCAGTTTTCATTTCAGTTTTACCTCATACGACTTAATTCATTCTAACTTCCTGTCGCTCATATTTTAAACCATATGATTTTACTGGTCTTTATTTCACGTTGATGATTACATAAACAATTAATTACCCATGTTTGGAATATGGTCTGCCAACTAAAAGCGCGGTAACAAGCTGGCAACAACCTTCAGATACATCCGAAACCATACACCCGAACAACTCATACTCGTGAAATGTACTCAGAAACAATAGAATGCTGAAACTGTTGTTATTAAGCAGCAGAGACAACCCGACAGGTGACAGGAGCACTTAATTTTTTGTTGATTATTGAATCCGACTGCTGTGGATTGAACTGAATAATGCTGTGAAATTCCTGATCAAGCTCAACACTAAGAGTAGAGGCTTGCTCTTTATAACAACTTCAAAACATGGAAATTAGTCTAAACAGGGGCAGGAAGGCAGCAAACAGCATCGTCTTCGAGGTGCAAACTGGAGGTAGCAATTACGTGTCTACTCTGCAATGCGACTCCTGTACTATTCGACATGTCTTTTCCTTTTTGCAAAAAATCCGCCTGTACGCGCTGTTCCGTCAAAAAATTAGGCAGACTCACGGAGATCACATCGTAAGCTGCCCGAGACCAAACCGTCCAGTTCCTCCTACTCGTCACCAAGTCGGCCGCCCTAAGTCTGTTCAAAGAAGAGAATTGTAATAACCCCCCGCTACTCGAGGGAATCCTTCCGGAAATCAAGAATTCTAATGTTCATCCATTAAATTACTGCTCTTGCCGCGAACCTCCCCCCATACTGTCAGATTAAGTCGCAATAACAGAGAAATGCACTTTTGTTTCGGGGAGAACAAATCAAAAATGGAATTACTGTAGCGTTCAATTCGCTGACATCTGTCACGAAATGGCTGCGGTGGGAAATCACAAAAGATCTTCCCCTGAGTTCACGGAGTGCCGTACTTGGAACGTTGTTTGACACTTTTTGACTTATTCCACCTAATATCCGTCACTCACCTGGGCGCTTACTTAGTATTTCGAATCCGGTTTTGCCGTTCAAACTTGCGTGCCTAACTCTGATTCTTTCAACGCTCGCCTGACACGTAACCGCCTCAAAGCGCACCTCTTTCCATGCATTTCCCTGTCTCCGCCCGAACTACCCGCGACCGTCCTCACAGTGTGGTTTTCGCAGGTCTGTTTCTCTTCTCGAATTGACTCGTAGTGCGTGAAACTTTGTTGTTGAGACTGATCAAAATTGACATATTCATGTTAGGAGAGAAAGCAATAATTTCGAGGGAAGGATTCCCTTTGAGAGTAACACAGCAGCACCACATTCAAGATTCTAGATCTTTCGAGCTCGCTGAGCATCAGTTGGAAATGACGACATTGCGAGTTTACGCTTGCGCACCTAAAACGAGAAATTACGTAGAAAATGCTATCGATTTTGTTCTTGGTCAACAAAAAGGTGTACGCGTTTATCAGGAACAAAATCTTTGAAACGTACTACTAGAGGGGCAGACGGCGCAGAAGAATCAATGTATGACGTGATCCGACGTGAGGTGGCAGCAGCTCCTTCCTCTCCAGTTAACTCATCTTGATCCAGTCCACCATCCGTCAAGGTTGAGATACGCATTCGCGGTTCAATAACAAGTGGCTGAACAATTCAGAACTATACTTAACATCCAATGAGTCTAGTTGATAAGAATTGCGAGATTCAATGATGAGGTCAGTGAGTGACCAAATATTATGATGAAACTGACTTGTATCCTGACATTGCCTCGTGTATAGCACAAGTATTGTGTGACGTCAAATGAAGCAAAATTAATTTTCTGATGTTGACCCCGCCCACCTCTGTGCACACCCCGCTTAAAGTTATATTTAACTTGCTCTTGCTCAAAAAAAAAA